CCTTTCCCTTTTCTCCTCTGCGGCAGCAAGGCTGCAATCATGGCAGTGCTGGCAAACACTCCAGATCCTGCAGGGTGAGACACACAAAGCTCAGCTAAACCAGGCTCAGGAGCAGAGGGGGAGTGCTCCAGCCACAGCTTCCACCCCTGGCCGGGGGGTTCCCACCAGCTGAGCCACTCGGGAAACAGCACAACAAGGATGTGCCGCAGCCCCCGGTGATTAATGAGACTGCAATTTATGTAATTATATTAATGCTAAGTACATTCGGAGCAGTAAGTTCAAGGGAACTGATGACACTATAGAGGACAGTTCAACACTGAGCAGTAACTCCAGCAAAAAGGGGGGAGAAAAAAAAGCCCCTAATTATTCAGTAGCTCTTCTCCCAGATTCTCAGGGTCAGCTTGGAGGAGAAGGTGGCCTGAATTATATTTTCATTTCCAGAACACCAACAGAATTGCTAAGTGAGTTCCAGCAGCAGTGTCAAAGCCTGCCCTTGGTATGCGTGCCAGCCCTGTCCCCTCCCCAGCTCTGCAGGGCCAGGCAGGGCTGGGCTGCCGTGTCCCTGCCAGCGCTGCCACCACCAAGCCCTGCTATCCCGGGGACACAGGACCAGCTCCTGTGCCAGTGTTTGTCCTGGTCCCCAGCACGGACAGACAAACTGCAACAACCAATTCCTCAGAAGCCAGGTGTAGCCTGCATGTCTGAAGGTGCAGGAGCCTGTCCAGGATAAGCCTGAGGAGCAAACAGCCCAGTCCAGCCAGCAGAGGTTTGTGCACACCCAGCCCTCTCCAGAGTGCCTGTTGGCACAGCCACAGCCCCTGGCAGATGTGGAGCCTGTGCCAGGGCATGCAGAGCTGGGAAGGACTGTGCCCACACATAGAGCTCTTCCCCTGCATGCCCACCGGGAGCCACAGAAGCATTTTGGAGCCCCCGTGCTGGCCACAGTCCTGTCACTCCTCACAGGTTCCTTTGGTGCCAACAAGCTCTCACACAGATTGTGCCATCAGTGCTGATGAGCTCCAAGAGCCTGAGTCTGCAAATCCAGCTTTACAGCAGCTACCAATGCACACTGGGCTTCTGCATTGCTCCATTGAGACTTGAACCTTTACAGGGGCCTGGAGTGCCAGGACACAGGGAATGGTTTCCACTGCCAGAGGGCAGGGATGGATGGGATATTGGGAATTAGGAATTGTTCCCTGGCAGGGTGGGCAGGCCCAGGCACAGGGTGCCCAGAGCAACTGGGGCTGCCCCTGGATCCCTGGCAGTGCCCAGGGCCAGGCTGGACATTGGGGCTTGGAGCAGCCTGCGATGGTGGAAGGTGTCCCTGCCATGGCAGGGGATTGGAATTGGATGAGTTCAAGGCTCCCTTCCAACCCAAACCATTCTGGGATCCAATGACTCTGCACCTCTGAAATGCTGAGATCTGCCTGCAGAGCTGCCCCACGGGCCAAGGTCAGTGCTGGAAGCTAAAGGTGCCTTATGACCACTCCACACAAAGCCAGGACAATGACTTGTTTTGCTCCTACATCACAGAACACAAAGCTGCCAGAAAAGCCAGGGCAGAAGAACTCTGCAAAGACTACACAAAAGAGGAGACCCCACAAGCCTCATGTGACCCCTGTGTCTGATTGAAAACCAAACCCAAATTAAATGAGCAGTCACAAGTTTGGTGTCTCAGGATTGCACTCAGAGCTCTCCTGGTGCCTTCCAAGATCAGCAGCCGCATCCAGCAACAGGGAACATGCAGAAGGCAACTCAGTGATGATTAGGAAGACACATATGTAGTTATCCATCACAGAACAACCTGTGTGCACCTACATGTCCTGCAGTGCAATCAGAAATCAATAGCAAGATGCAGAAACCCTCAACCACTCAGTAAAATATAAAGAACAATTGTAATATTGATTTTAAAAGCACCTCTGTAAAGACAGTTGAGAAGAAGCCTGAGAAAGCAAAGCAAAATGCCTGAATTGAAACCTTTTTTTTTCCCTCAGAAAGACATTAATAATGGATTTTCAATGCAAGAAGAAAAACTGAAACCCACACCAGATTCTCCTGGTAATATCAGCTTTCTGCAAAGCCCAGCTATTAATGTAACAGGGACGTCCATCAATCAAGCACACAGAAAGTACATTGAGAGCTAAAAAAGAGCATGCAAACATCTGCTTTTGGCAACTTAAATTTTGTCCCTAAGCATAAGGAACATAATAAATTATCAGGAGGTTGGGCTTGACTTGTTTTCCTCCATCCTGGGCCTAAATGCTGAGGATAAGGATGAAGGTACACAACATGCTGCTGCTGAGATTTGTCATGACAAAAAGTGGGCGAAAGGAGCACGATTTCATTTGTGTTTTCATCTGAAAACACTGGTGCAAGAGGCCACCAAGCAGGGGTGTAGCATCTCCCTGTCTGCAGTTCAGGGAGCTCCTGTGAACCCTTTTCCACCTCCAGCATCCTCAGCACATCCAAGACTTCTGGAGTGGTCCCACAGTGGAGTGACAAATGTGCCAGTGTGCTCCAAGGTGCCCATGGCTCCCTCCTCGCCCAGCTCCTTCCCTGCTCCCTGTGGAGCTGTGGTGATTTTGGCAGCTCCTCAGTCCCTCAGTGTTCTCTTCAACCATCAAATCACACTTGGGGTCCATCCATGCAGCCAAGCACTGCCTGGGGTGTCCCAGCAACCCCAGAAAAGCTGGATTGGCACCAGGGGAATGGCTACAGAAAGCAGCTGGGGTGTCCCCACGCCTCCAGTGTCTCCCCCCTTGTAAAACACAGCAGGTCAGAGCAAGTGCTGGAGAAAATGAACACAATTTACGGATTCCAGCACAGGAGGCTGCAGGCATGGCTGCAACTAAGTCTTAATAAATTCTGAAGAGTGACACCATAAAATGGCATTATGGAAGGCTGTATTTATTGTCTCCCCATGCTTCCGTCTCCAAGGTGCCACGTTACACTTAATAACAGTTTTCTCCCCAGCTGCCAGTGTTGCAAACCCTGACAAGCTAATGGTCGGGCCAGCCCTCCCCAAACACACACATCTCACCCAGTACACAGCTTCCATGGCAAGAACAGGCAAAAACGATTAAACCAGTGCTGCCCAGCCTGTCCCCTCCGTGCTGGCTCTGCAGGGCTCCATGCCACGCAGCAGGACAGGACTTTTGCCCCTGGAAGTGATGCAGAGGAGGAGCAGCTGCTGTGGGGTGGTACCTGCATGCCCAGTGTCCTGCTGGGACAGGAGCATCCCTGCCCTGCCCTGCTGGGAACACCAGGGCCCTGCCAGCAGAGCAGCCCCACCTGAAACTGCTGCCTGCTGTCACAGCAAGCTCTGGGCAAGGCACCAGCACAGCCCTGGGGGGAACCATGGGGAACCACGGATCCTCATGGAGAACCAGAGATCCTCATGGAGGACCAGAGATCCTCATGGAGGACCATGGGGAACCAGAGGTCCTCATGGAGAACCATGGGGAACCAGAGATCCTCATGGAGAGCCAGAGGTCCTCATGGAAGACCATGGAGAACCAGAGGACCCCTGGTTCCTCGTGCCAGAAGGACAGGAAGCCTCACCATTCAGCATTCCCAGCTTCACTACAACTGCAGTGTGCACTTCCATGGTTCCATATTTAGCTTTTGGACCGTGGATACAGTTTTTCTGGAGCATAATCTCCACTGAGCTTCTTGTTCTCCCTGCTGGTGTAGTGTTCAAAGCCTGCAACAAAATCACTTTGAGCTTCAGGCTAAGCCTTGGGTGTGGATGGAGACTTGACAAGTATAAAGATGCTGCTGTTCCATCCCTGCCTGCATCGCCTGCACTGCAGAAGGCACAAAAAAAAAATGTGAACCATCTTTAGTTCTCTTCAGAATACAAAAAGGTAACAAAAATCCCCAAACTCACATATATCAGTTTATCAAGTACAGCAAACAGTACAAACAGGAGTGCAGGTGTGTTTGGCCTGAGAAAACTCGCAGTGGATGGAGATGAGTGTGAACATCTCCTCACCCAGTGTCCCCCCCTCTGGCCTCCGTGTCCCTCCCCTCTTGCCAGCTGACAGCGACCACTCTCCTCAGCAGCCTGGCTCTGCTCCTCCTCCAGGACAAGTCCTTTCCCCTTCAGAAAGCAAACCAAAGGTTTAGAGCATCTGAAGAGATCAGTGTGTGGAAGGATGATGAAACAGGAGTCAAGTGAAAAGTGGTAGATAGGGACAGGCGATCGGAAGACCACACGATGTGACGGAAAGTGGTAGGACTCCTTTTCCCCTAATCTCTTAAGATAAGAGATCACTTTAGGAATGTAACTAGGAATGTAGCCCCCCTAACGATAGTAATGCCAGTAACTTTCCACTCCTGGTAACTTTCCACTTTTTACTAACCATAGATGGTATTGCAGACCCCCTCTGACGTAGAGAAGCCCTTAGACTATAAAACCCCAGGAGAAGAGATAATAAAGGCCTTTGACCGGCTACCACATTGGTGTCTGCGTGCTTTTTGGCCCAAGCGACCCTGGAGAGTTTGGTCGCCGTGCTGTTCCTCGAAACCAGGTCGCCTTGCCTTGTATCAGAAGGCAACAACTGGTGCCGACACCCGGGAAGAAGCTCGGGTAACAGGAATTCGCCTGGACAGAGGACGGCGGCTGCAGCGGCGTGACCGTCTGCAGCGGGGGGGACACCCCCGGACCAGCGTGGACCATGGAGTCCATAGCGAAGGTCGTAACTCAGATGCATGCGCAATGGGGTATTGAGTGTAAGATTAAAGATTTAAGTCTTGCATTGCCGAGACTGATTAAGCTTGGGGCTATAGAAAGCCCGATAGATATCCTCCATTCAGGGGTTTGGGATAATTGTACAAAAGCTCTGGCCGAGGAAGCTATGTCCTCAGGCTCAGGGAAAGCCCTAAAATCGTGGGGCAGAGTTATCCAGGCTCTGCAAAAAGCTCAACAAGAGCAAGAAACCTGGAAAGTCGCGCGAGCTTGTTTATTGACCACCCCTCAGTTGGGGGTGGGCGCGGCGATGCAAACCGCGGAGGATTTTGACTCGGGCGAACACATGGAGGCGCGAACGTCAGAACCCCCTCAGCGAGCGGACTCACCATAGGGGGGGGGGGGGAACACGCGCAGGCGTTCTGGCAGGGGCTCGCGGAGGAGGCGCAGAACACGGCCGGATTGTCAGACCCCGTAGGGATCGATAAAAATGCCCCCCCACCCTATGCGTTTGAAAATGGCACCGAACCGCATGGTCAGGGCGGAAAAGAAGACATGGAGGGTGGAAATGCAGTCAGCCTGCTTAACAACGCATGCGCGGGCGAGCGGGGAGAAGGGGCGGCCCCCGCGGAGGAGCATAAGACCAATCAGAGCGCTATATTAAAATTAGGTCCTTATAGGGCAAGGACCTCCCCCAGCAGGAGGCGGGGGGACCCCAGGGAGAGGTTACGGCCCAACCCCCGCAAGAAGGGGCAGGGTCGGAGCCCGAGAAAACAGGTGAGCAGCCCGGAAACGTCCGGCCAGTCGACTTCCGGCTCGGACTCAGACTTGACCTCCGAGCTCGAGAGGGAATTGGAGAATTCTGATTCTGTTTCTAGTTTTAACAGAAAGAGAGCAGCGGCATGTAAGGTCACTAGTCACAGCGCTCCCGCGTGGGTGAAGGGGTTATCAGAGAAAGACTGAACCCCGCTTACAGACTGGCGGAAAATAAAAATAGCGTGCGCGGAGTGGGCTCAGTCTGCCACACTGGTGTTCCCGGTCCGTGTGGGGCGGCATGCGGAAATCAAAGGACCTATTCCCCCGTAAACCGGAAAGACGTGCAGGCAATTCATAAAGCGATTGCAGACAAGGGAATTAATTCTGCCATGGTTTCCACACTCATTGACGGCGTTTTTAGAGGGGACGACATGTTACCCTTTGATATTAAGCAGACCTGCAGAATGATTTTCAATAGGCCAGAGATGATCGTTTTTAAACAAGAGTGGGAGGACGACTGCATAAAGCAGCTAGCCTTGGTAACGGGAGCTGACCATCCACTGCACAGCTCCAGCATACAGAGGTTAATGGGAACAGACCCCACTATGATCACCCCCCAGGCGCAGGCTGAGGGCTTGCGGGCCCATGAGGTTATGACAACAACCCGTGCTGCCCGAGAAGCCATCCGTGTTGCTTCCAAAGTAATAGCCAAAACCTCCCCATGGTCATGTATAAAACAGAGTGAGAGTGAGAGCTTCACTCAGTTTGTGGACCGTCTTCAGGCAGCATTAGATTCCTCTGCATTACCCTCAGAGGCGAAGGGTCTTGTGGTAGCAGAGTGCCTACGCCAGCAATGCAACTCAGCCACCAAGGACATTTTAAGATCACTGCCGCAGGGGTCTAATATAGCTGCCATGATCAGACACGTTGCAATGGAAGAACACCTAGCTCCCATTCAAGCAGCAGTTCACACTGCAATAACCAGCGTGATGGCGTGCCTTAAGTGTGGCCAGGCAGGCCACTTGGCAGTAAACTGCCCCCAGCCAAGACGCTCATCAGCAGCTGCTCCATCACGCCAAGGGGGACTTAGGGGACCATGCTGGGCATGTGGAAGGAAGGGGCATTTAGCTAAGGAATGCAGATCTAGACCTCAGGAAAATGGGAGAGGGAGGGGGCAGCTGGGCCGTATCCACGCTCCTCCCACCTGGAATATGCAGCGGCCCAGCTACAGCAACCCCCAGTGGGGCAGGGGACCCTCATACCCCATGCCCCCATAGGGAGCAGTCAGTTTCGCATCCCCGCCAGCAGCACAATGGCAGAGTTGTGCAGCACTGCCAGTAATACTTTCGCACCCTCCACCGCCACAAGCCGCGCCGGTGCCACAGGGCCAGCAGGGGACGCCTCAGAGCGGGACCCCTGGGTGGCCCTTGCCATGAAAATAGGGAAGGAACCCCTGATGGTGTGGGGGACATGCTGCCTTTATGGCAGTCAAGATCCCCACGTCATAGGATTTCAGTTTTGGATGGACACGGGATCAGACTGCACAATTTTTCCCCAAGCGCATTGGCCCGGACATTGGCAATTCAAAGAAGTCCCTCCAGTGAACGGAGTGGGAGGGCAGTCCCGGGCATGGAAAAGCACCCAGCTGGTGGCTATAACACTTCACACGAAAAAGGGACCAGAACAGACAGTAGCAATCTACCCCTACATTTTGCAAAATTCTCCACCCCTGATAGGAAGGGACGTCCTTGCTATGCTAGGAGTCAGGATTTCAAATTTATCATGAGGGCCACTGCCGTACACCCTCCGCTGCCAATCACATTGACTTGGAAATCATCAGACCCCGTATGGGTCAAGCAGTGGCCCCTGACAGAGCCTCGAGCGGCAGCCTTGCTGGAACTGGTCGACTGCAAACTGCAAAAGGGTCCCATAGAACCCTCCATCAGTCCATGGAACACCCCTGTATTCGTGATCCCCAAAAGGCCCGGAGAAGGTTATCGCCTCATCCACGACCTGAGAGAAGTGAACAAGACAATCTGACCCATGGGTCCAGTTCAGACACTGCTACCCACGAACACAACCATCCCCGCAGGGCAGCCATGCGCAGTGCTGGACATCAAAGACTGTTTCTTCTCGATACCCCTACACCCTGAGGACAGAGAACGATTCACCTTTTCCGTGGCATTTCGGAACAGCGAGCGGCCCAACCTCCGCTTCCAATGGCGAGTATTACCACAAGATCTGGTAGACAGCCCCACTATATGTCAAATCACCGTGGACAAAGCATTGATGCCAGTCCAACACTCCCACCCCACCGTGACCATCATTCAATACATGGACGACATCCTAGTCGCAGCACCATTGGCAAGCCAAGTAGATCACCTGGTGTCCACAATCACGGAAACCCTTCAGGCCAACGGCTTCGAGATCGCAAGCGCAAAGATCAAGACAGGACCCTGCATGACCTTCTTGGGAGTGGGGACCACAAGCTCCTACGTGACACCCCCCAAGGAGAAGGTCAGTCGAGACATCAAGACGCTCCATGACATGCAACGCCTGATGGGATCGCTGCAGTGGCTTCGCAGCATCATCCTGATTCCTCCCGAGGTCATGGACCCTTCATATGACCTCCTGAAAGGAAAGCACCCCTGGGAACCCAAGGAGCTGACGCCGCAAGCAACAAGCTCCCTCGACTTCATCGAAAGCCAGATGACCACTGGCACACTTGCCAGGTGGAATCCAGCCATGCCCCTGGACCTATACGTCCACTTTACACCGAAGGGGGGAGTGGGAACACTGGCTCAAGGAGTTTCCGAAAAGGCCCAACCAATCCAATGGGTGGTCCTCGGAAGACCTGCTCGTGCATTCTCCCCGGGAATCGAATGCATCGCTAACCTCATCATGAAAGGCAGGAAACTTGCCTTGAAACACCTAGGAACCGAGCCGACAAGCATCCACCTTCCATTTCGCGAGCAACCGACCACGGAGTCAGCCACAATATCGGAGTACCTGGCCCTTGCTCTCACCGGCTTCGGAGGAGAAATCTCCTATTCTGCCACACCGCCCTGGACTCAGCTGCTGACCGTAGTCGAAATGGACATGCCGCCGAAGGTCAAGGACCGACCGCAGCCAGGACCAACGGTCTTCACAGACGCTTCCTCCACGACCTCAACTGTAACGGCAGTGTGGCAGGCAGGAGAGCAATGGCATTGCGTCAAAGTGTGTGACTCCACACTGTCAGTGCAACAACTGGAGGCAGCAGCAGTGGTTTTGGTGTGCGGACTCTTCCAAGAAGAACACCTCAACATAGTAATGGACTCTATATTCATGGCAAGGCTTTGCCTGGCCATGGCAGGACCAGGAGTGTCAACATCTGCAGCAGCCCTAATGCTGGAAGAAGCACTCTCCTCGCGACAGGGCACCATGTCAGTCATCCACATCAACAGCCATGACCCAGACAAAGGTTACTTCCAGATTGGCAACGACAAAGCGGATGCCGCAGCAAAAGGCGTATGGACCTTGCAAAGAGCTCGTTAACTGCACGAGTTGCTCCACATCGGAGCCAAAGCACTGGCCAAGAGATGTGGAATCCCAACAGCGGACGCGAAACATGTGGTAGCCACTTGCCCTCATTGCCAGAAGTCACCCCTATGGACCTGCGGGGTCAACCTGAGAGGTCTCAAGCCTTCAGAGATCTGGCAGTTGGACTTCACCTGGTGTCAACTGCTGAAGCCCCGAGCATGGCTTGCAGTGACAGTAGACACTTATAGTGGAACGATCATAGCCACACAGCACCCCAAAACAAACTCCAAGGCCACAATCCAGTGCTGGCTGACAGCCATGGCTTGGCTCGGTATTCCCAAGCAGATAAAAATGGACAATGGTTCCAATTTCACCTCCAAACCAGCACAAGAATTCGCCTACAAATGGGGCATCACATTAGTGCAAGGTATCCTGTATAACAGTACCGGGCAGGCCATAGTTGAGGGAGCAAATCAGACCCTGAAAACCAAGCTAGAAGTGTTGGCGAAAGCAGAGGGCTTTGCCAATTCCATTCCCCCAGGAGATCAGGCGCGTATACTGGCAACCGCTTTGCTAACACTGAATCAATTCCCTAGGGGAGATGAAACAAACAGTCCCGTTCAAAAGCACTGGGCCACCCGAACGCTAGAGGAGGGCCCGCAGGTGGTGATCAGAAACAAGCTGATGCTCACGGGGCGAGGGTACGCAGCTATCAAAAAGGACGGCAAAATCAGGTGGTGTCCACTTAAGTCAATCAAGCCCGACCTTCACAATGAGCGGAATGAGACTGATGAGAGTTGTGAGTTTCTGTTTACAGGACATGCTCATGGGACGTCCTCGTGATGCGTACATCCCCATTCCAGAGGAAAGTGACAGACCACCAAGCCGCCAGGCAGCGCCCGAGAGACCCGCACGGGTGGGACCCAAGCATCAAAGGTGTTTCTGTGTGATTTTGCTGTTGGGGCTTGTCGCCAGAGGGCAAGCCAGCCCAAATCACTACCCCCATCGGCCATTCAGGTGGGTCATGCGAAACCTTAGTAGTGACAAAGTGCTCAAAGAAATCACCCCACCGAATGCCCCATTCTTCGTGTTCCGCATCACCGACCTGTTTCCAGGACAGCCAAAGGTAGACCCCCATTCCCCACACGCCACACACATGTACCTATCCTGCTGGTGCCCAGCTTCAAACCCTGGGAAAAGCTACTGCAATCACCCAGGGTGGCGACATTGTGGGCACTGGGGCTGCGAAACCATTGTCACAGATGCCAGACCGTCAGGGCCTGGGTGGGATCCACAAGAGCCCAACAAATTCTTACAGTTCACCTGGGCACCCACCAGTTGCAAAACACCCATCTTCCTCCACGGAAACTTTTATCGAAACCGTCATAAAATCCCCAAATTTCGGAAATGCACAGACTACAACATGACAGTTTTGCAGCCAGATCACCCTAGCTGGGCCATAGGCAAAACGTGGACAGTAGTCCTTCAAGGGTCAAAAGAGAGGGTGAATGTGCCAATTATTAGGCTCCAACCTTCACCACCCCGAGCAGTCGGACCCAACAAAGTGATTAAAAGCGTGCCAAAAGGGAGAAACACGACCCACCCCAAAGCCTTGCCCACAAGGGTCGCTGATATCCCGACCGGCCATGCGGAAGCCTTTCAGATGGGCCGTTCAGCCGAGTCAGACTCAGACCCAATCCTTCGTATGTTAGAAGCTACATTCCTATCCCTGAACGAATTTAACCCTAACCTAACCGAATCCTGCTGGCTTTGTTACGATGTCAAGCCTCCCTTTTACGAAGGAGTCGCTTTAAACACTCCCTTCAGTTACTCCACAGCAGATGCACCCAACCAATGTAGATGGGACACCCCCCGCAAAGGAATCACCCTGAGTCAAGTCACAGGCCGGGGCAGATGCTTTGGCAATGCAACCCTAGCTAGGCGGAAAGGCAATGTCTGCACCAAAGTTGTCAAACCCAACAGGAAAAACAATAAGTGGGTAGTCCCATCCGCATCTGGGATGTGAGTTTGCCAGCGATCTGGAGTGAGTCCGTGTGTGTTCCTTGCCAAATTTGATGACTCTAACGACTTCTGTGTCCAAGTTCTGATTGTTCCTAGGGTCCTGTACCACGCAGATGAAGAAGTGTATCACCTTTTTGAGGAACCCAGCCGGCTCCACAAAAGAGAAATAATAACAGGTATAACTATCGCAATGCTGCTGGGCCTAGGAGCAGCCGAGACGACCACAGGAGTCTCAGCCTTAGCGACACAGCACCAAGGACTGTCACAGCTGCAGGCAACAATTGATGAGGACCTGCAGAGGATTGAGAAATCCATCTTCTTTCTAGAGAAGTCAGTCTCCTCACTCTCAGAAGTAGTCTTGCAGAACAGGCGAGGACTAGACCTCCTGTTCATGCAGCAAGGGGGCCTGTGTGCCGCCTTGAAGGAGGAGTGCTGCTTCTATGCAGACCACATGGGAGTCATGAGAGACTCCATGGCAGAAATCCGAAACAGACTGGCTCAGAGACAGAAAGACAGGGAAGCCCAACAGGGTTGGTTTGAGTCCTGGTTCAATCGATCACCATGGCTAACCACCCTAATTTCTACCCTAATAGGTCCATTGGCAATGCTACTTTTAGCTGTCACCTTCGGACCATGCCTGCTGAACAAGCTAGTCTCATTCGTTCAGACCCGCCTAGAACGGGCCAACATCCTGTTCATAGGCCGGCAGCAACTGCTGTGAATTCGACCAGGGAACACTGCCAGTCACAAGATCTTCTAAACTTGCCCGGCAAAAAACTTACCCAGGTTTACCAAACCCCTTTTTTTGTCAACAACCTCATGCCTCATCTCAGTACCTATGTATATGACTACCTCGTTCATTTGTGAAAAAGGGGGGGGGAGATGTGGTAGATAGGGACAGGCGTTCGGAAGATCTCGCGATGTCACGGAAAGCAGCAGGATTCTTCTCCCCCTAACGCCTAGTGATAAGGGATCACCCAAGAATGTAGACCACCCTAACACTAGTAACTTTCCACTCCTTATCAACCAATCACAGTAAGGTAAGACCCCCTGACGTAGAGAAAAACCTCCCAGATTATAAAACCCCAAGAAACGGGGCAATAAAGGCCTTTGGACCGTCCACCATATTGGTGTCTGCATGCGCCTTTGGCCCCAGTGACCCTGGGCAGTGGTTCGCCGTGCCGTTTCCTCAGAACCAGGTCGCCTTGCCTTGCATCAGAAGGCAACACCTTTCAGGTTAGTTTCTGTGTGTCTTCTATTGGGGTGGCTGTTGCCTCTATCACTTGCACACAGGCTGGCCACCCTCTGGCTACTGGATCTGGTAACTTGGAGAGAGATGTGACTGGCTTCCTGCACCCTCCCCAGTCCTTTGTAAGGACTCCGCAAGCTATCCCCTCTTCCATGTTTACCAATAGGTCAAAAATCTTTTAAAGGTCTGGCAGGCTCAGTACAGGGGCAGAGGACAATTTAGTTTTCAGATTCCGAAGCTGTTCCTCGTCATTTGAGGCCCAGGTTACAGGCTCTGAGTCTATCAATTTTTCATATGGAAATTTAACGCTTTTAGTGATTTAATACTGATCAAGCCATAATCTGCAATACTCAAACAAACCTAATAATTTTCTAACATCTCTTTTGGTCTTTGGGGCAGGGATGGACAGAATTCCCAAAATTCAGGAGGCCACGAAAGGCTTAGACAAAATGAAAATTATTCACTATTGTATGGAAGTCTGGCCTAAGTTAAACCTGCAGGGGGAGTGGCTATGGTATGGGACAAGAGATCCATGGATGTGTTCCCAATTAAACCAACACCTGAAAACCCAAGAGAGTCCCAATCTTCAGCAGTTAACATATGCTGCATGTTCGCAGAGGCATACCACCAGCAATGTATAAAAATCTGTAAACTACAAAAACGGAAGGAAAATAATGAGGGGAGAGAAGAGGTTAGTGTTAAGTGGGACCCCCTTGATTACTTA